AATTCATAGTTGATAACAAAATATTTAAAATGAATGATTAAATGATATAAAATATACATGAAATATAAGAAACATTATTAAATCATAATAAATGGTAATAAGATGTAATGAATGAATAATGAATTGATTTTATGAAATTCAATATGATAAATAAAGAAGATGTTAAATTTTAATGATTTAAATGAATGTTTTTATCATTCATTTTCATTTAATTAAATTAGATGAACAGAATGAAACATTCAAAATTAGTTGTTATTGTGAATACATGAAATTATAAAAGTGAATATTGTAAATTGATTTTGAAGAAGAATGAAATGAAAGAAATTGATAATCAACAATAAGAAAATAAATAAACAAATAGAACATAAAGAGATATACAATATGTGATTGTTATTGATACAATTGAATTATAATAATTAGAATAGAAAGACAATACATGAATCAAAATGATGAATATATCAAATAATAAAAATGAAAACAAATAATTGTTAATATTTTAGATATTAATCAATATTGATTTACACAACACATTAAAACAATAAATAAAATAATATTGAATGAAAATCTAATACAAGATATTTTGAAATATGAATATATAAAGATGAATAAATTGTATTGTTATATTCATAACAATGATATTAAATAAATAAAATAAGAACATAACAAGAATGATGAAAAATAATAATGAAACAACAAGAATAACAGAAAATATAGATTTTGAAATATAATTTGTTGAATCAAAATAATTAGAATTGATAATACATCTTTATAAAATCAAATATATTTAATGACATGAATGATGAAATGATATAATCAAGATATATAATCATTAAAATTTGTATCATCATTTGTTTTTATTTCTTTATTTTTATTTCTTCTTATTTTTAATTTTATTCTTAATTTTAAAAATATATTATGTTTTGTTTATTTGTTTTATTATCATTTTATTATTTCATTTATTTATCATTCTTCATTATTTGATATATTATTTTATTCATTGTTAATTTATGATTTGAATATTATATTTATCATTTATCATTTAATTTATCATATTTTATTAAATGTTGAAATATTATATAAATATTTTATTATTTAATTTATCAATTAATACATTCATTTATTTATGTTTTATTCATTGTATTGTTCTTATTTATATTATTATTTATCTTATTATTCATTATATTCATTATATTATTGTTATTTATTTTATTTAATTCTTTCTTTATTTGATTTATTCTTATATTTATACTTTCATCACTTTATTTCTTATTTAAATAATCATTTCAAATATAAAATAATAATAGAAACAGAAAGTAGATAATTAAGTATTAATAGAAATATCTTCTATTGTTCCTTGCTCAGGGGAGATTAACTAATCCCTTTGCTTTAAAAGTATTTGTTCTTCAACTATCAGTTTATTCTTTGCTTCTAGTTGTTGAAATGTGAGATTTTCCTTTTCTTGTTTTGATGTGGAATAGAGTATTTAAACATCTTTATTTAAATATTCGTTATTTAATTTCTATTTGATTTTGGTGAGTATTAAAATTATTCTTTATTTTCTTATTCTAAGGAGAATATATAATTACTACTGTATTATATGAGTTAATATTCTTTTTAGAATCAACCACTAAACCCTTTTTCTTTGATAATCTTATATTATCAAATGTACTTGTATCATAACAAGTAATAATAACATCTTTATAAATACCCGTTTGTTTATTATCAATGATATCACATCATTGTAATTAATAATCACTGTTATTCTTACAATATTGATTATGATGTTTTTCTAACCAAACGCAACGCCATAACGAGTCCATGACTGGGGGAATCGAAGGATGAAAATATTTTAGGATTCTGTGTGGTGTCTCTGACGTGCTACCTTCGAATCTAATTAATGTTTTT